AGCATTGACCGGCGGCACGTTCATTATTAATATCTACTACTTCAGCAATCAGATCACAAACATCAATTGAATTAATATGTGTATTTATCATCAAAGCAGTAAAATGCAATAGAAACATATATAATTCTGAATATTCTCATTTAACAGGTATCGTATCCTTCGGTTTACGATGATTATCGTACTTGCAACACACCGCTAAAAACGAAATTGAAATTTTGGCTACAGTTTAAAGAGAAGTGAGTTTGAAGAGGTAAGAAAAATGGAGGAGAAGAGTACCTCTAAGCGTTCGGCGACGGCGAACAGATCTGTGAGGGTGCCCGAATCACTTGCTCTGTCGGTCCAGTATGTATTTTCTACTTTTACTAAAGGAATAATAAACGGGCCGGATGAAACGTTATGCGGTTTGGATTAATTGGGCCGGACTCGAGTAACAGAATTTCAGCCTTTTTTTTCCGAAGCCCAATGTTTCTACCAAGCCTATCATGTTTATTGGTCACGGTGTGCATTCGATTTTTCGGTTCGATTTTATACTATTCAGTTTGGATTTTTGATTTTTCATTTTGAAGAAGTGTAACGCTATTTGAATCAAAATAAATTTGGTTTGGTTTGGTTTTTTTGGGTTTGGTTAATCCGCTATGTCAATAATTAGAAACATAACAAAGTTATATTTGCAATTTTAAATATATATATTTCTTAAATATACTTTTTAATATAAATTACAAGTAAAACGTAAAACACAATACTTAAAAGTATATCAATTATAAATGTCCAAACATAAGAAAATAAACTAAATCATAATGAAAATGACTAAAAAGGGACAAAAGTGATTATCTTCAACTTAATTCTATACATATATATAAGGACAACTTTCATATATAGCAAACAAATACTATTCGATTTAATCCAAATAGTGCAAACTTTTTCGAAACAAAGAATTCAAAAAACCAATTCATTTGTATATGACTATTAGAGTTAAGTAGATATTAACAATATAGAAAAATTAATTTTGAAAATATATATATTATTTTTTATAGATATTAATAATAGAAGTATTAGTTATTATAAGGTGAATGAAGAAATTCATTGCTTTCTACGTGGTTTCAATTTATAAACAGAATCAAAAAATTCAGTCTTATAGAACATGTCTCTTATTTCCTTTATCTACAAATTGAGGATATAATTCAAACATATTTGTCGTCTGTCAACTGCCACAATGGTAGAATAAATAAACGCAAAGAATCAAATGGCATTTGGAGATAGATTTTTGGGATAGTTTTTGAAAATTTATTAGCAAAATATCTGTTTGATCAGATTTTATTTTTCAATTTCCCAAAAATGGGTGCCCCAACTTTCACTCACAAAATATTATTTTATTTTTTTTAAAAAATAAAATACATGTCGAATCATAACTTTTAATTTTAATAATCGCAACTTCAAAAATTTAAACTTGCAAGTTTCAACTTCAAATCCACGACAAAGTTGAGCAAATCAATTGATATTGTATCGACAAATACCTAATTAGAACTCAAAGAAATATTAAAGCAGGCCAAATTAATATTATGAGCACAAAAAATCATCACTTAACGCAAAAATTAAGAAATCGCTAGAAGGAGGGGTCGAACCTCCGACCTTATGGTTAACAGCCATACGCTCTAACCAACTGAGCTATTCCAGCTTTGTTGGTAATTTAATCTATATTTTCAATTTGGTCCTAGATTTAGTAAATCACACTATCAAGCCGACACTTTAAGGACCCGTTTCGTAGGAGGTATTAGTCAAAAGAATACATGGATTAAAATTTAGTCCAGCAAAAACATTGTTTGGTTACTTAACAATTCATGGATTAGTTATACCTCAAACAAGGTCTTATTTTATTCGTAGGAAAAGGAGGGATAGCTAATCCAAGGTTTAGCAATCCTGGGATAAGACCCCTAAATGACTAAATTATTCCCAAAACTATTTTCCTATTTTTTCTTTTTCTAATTCATCTTTTTTTAAAAAAAATTTATATGAGAATATTTAAAAATATTCATTTAAAATCTCCAAATTCATTCCATGTAACTTGAACTATTTTTTTTATTTTTAAAATAAACTTCGTCTATTTGAACAATTTAAGTAAATGTTAAGATTAAGTTATATTTGACCAACAAAAAAATTAGAAATATACTGTGTGACATATCACACCTCAAAATTAATAATATTTTTATATATATTTTTAGTATTTAACTTGACTAGTTAAATGAAATATAAAATCTCACAATAACTCAAGGATATAATAGGAACTAAACTTTTGTAAAGTTTTAAATTAAACATAAAATTAGATAGGAAACAATGAACCAAACACTTGATAAAAACTAATCCCTGCATTACTAAATTCATGCATTAATTTTTTTTAATTAAAAAAATCAAAATTCTGAATAAATTGTTTTTTAATTAAAAAATTGATGACGTGGCCGAATTATAATTGGTCTCGTATCAAAAATGATTTTGCAAAACCACTGTTAAAAAATAATGACATGAATGAGCCTTTTCTCTAACAGTAATGGTATAAATGAGTCAAACTCTTAATTGATCGCATAAATGAGCCTATTCTGAAAGTTCAACGGCATATTTGAGCCTAAACCCCTTAAAAGAATCAACGAATACTGCAACTAAGGGTCCTCGATGGGTTATTTTTGATTTTCCATTAGGCATAAAGCCAAATTAACTAAGATTCACGTACTTGAGGTTCCATTCAGGAAAAACACACCATGCCATACGTCCATATCAAAAAAATTCATATTATGCTCGATTCGAGATTTTTGAATAAAAAACGAAACAATCTTATCAATTGCAACATATCCTTTGGTGGTATTCTTATGAATTTTTTTGTTAGGTTTCTTTCAATAAAATAACAGTATTTTTTTTCCCTATGAATTTATAATTACATAGAATAATTATGATAGATTTTAAATTTGACAAAAATAATTGAAAGATATCAAAACTTATTGATTAAATTTATGTGTAAACTATACTATTATATAATGAGAATTTCAAATATAACAAACATTTTTTTTTTTGGTGGTAAAATGGCTAAAAGCTTACATCTGAAGTCCCAATTCCAAATCTACAATGCTAATTCTAATAAAATTAACTTAATTACAACATCTTCAGCAGCAAATCACGAAGTATAGAGTAATTTTGTAATTTTGAATAGAAAGCTACAAGACATTGAATATTTTTTTTCTTCATTTGATTTGAATTTCTGTCTTAATCTTAGTAAAATCAATTCTTAATCTTATTTTGATTAATTTCTTTCCTTTTTCTCGTATTTGCTTATTTATTAATCCATACAACAACTAAATAAAAGACTTAATTTTTTTTTAGAACACGAAATCTCTTTAAAATAGAATTTTCTACGTAGCCAGGACTCAAACTCAAAACTTTTCACCACGAAATTATTCAATTTCCTGCTTTCCTACTCAAAAGTTGTAACACCAATAAATATCAAATTGTTACATTGAATATTTCCATACTGATAACATTGTTTTAAGTACTCTTTATGATGCTAAGCCACGTTCATTGATATGTCATTTTAGCATTGAGTTAGTGGAAATTAACAATCACCAGACAATTAAGTTCAATATTGTAATAATGACACTTAAAAAGAGTCAAATGACTAATAGTGATTAATAACATGATATGATCACTCAATACTCTCTAGTCTCCACTAATATAATCTTTGAATTAGTTCAATTAAAATGAGATCATCTATATAGTGTTTTATTATAATTATATATGAGAGGTGAGTGTCCCCATCTCAAATCAACCACTTTGATAGTGATTATTAATCATCAAATGAAGTGCATCCATATCATTCTCAATCTTTTAATATGTCTTATCCTTGTCCTTTTTTTTTTCCAAAACTTTATTTTAACTCATCATACTACTAAATAATACTATACTGTCTATAAGACTATAGTTTTTAAATACTATACTGTCTATACCTTCTTGTCCCCCCTTTTTTTAAATTTATATTATATAAAGTTAAATATACATGTCTAAGTTTATATTTTGATCTTTATACTCTGAATCTGTTACTAATTCTTTTCTTTATGGAGAGGAAATAAAGTTTTATTTGATATTTATTGAAAAAGGACCAGCCCACCAAACTACTGCTCTTTTACTTGACCATGACATCTAATTATTATTATTTTTTTAAAAAAACAGTGGACATTTTCCCCTTCTGTTTTTTTTCTTCTTTTAGGCTGTGCCGTAGTTTTTCGTTCTAATTTATATGACATTGTTTAATTAGATAAATTTATTTTAATTAAAAAAAAAAGGCTTTTTGGGGTAAAGGGAGTAACTAGTTTAGCGAATTTTGAAAAACCAAACACATTTATTTAGAAAAAAAAGTGTTTAACCAAGCTTTTAATGAAGATGACTAAATTTGAGTAGGAGTTTTAGAAACATTTTTGAGAAACTAAACAAGATTTTTTTTAAAAAACACCTTTAGATTTTGAATGTAAGTATAAAAAATTATTCTAAAAGTATTTTCAAATGAATTAGCTAATATTAATAAAAATATTTTTTTTTAATGATTAGAAAAATCTGTAATCGTTATTTTGGATACGCACGAGATAAATATTCACTTTGATGCAGTAGCTATCCGAAAAAATAATCCACCTTAAGCAAGTCTAATATAATGAGTTTGATCCTAAAAAGCAAATAAATACTTCTCAAAACAAACCAATTTTAAAAATTTGACCAAATCGATATACTAATATATTTGCTAATAATTTGCTGACTGGAAACCAATGCCTGAAAGTGGGTCCCATTTTAATTGGATATATCTCCTGAATATTGGGTCCAGCAAGGGGAACAAAACCATAGAAGCTCAAGATTCCACGTGGCCTCTAAAAATGCTTCACTTTTTTCACTCTTTAATTAATTAATTTTTTTTTAAAAAAAAAAAGAAATTCAAAATTCAACACTGCATGTTCCGTATATATATATCACTCATCACAAAACTCTGTTATCACAAACTAAAAAAACAAACACAACATAAAAGGACCTGTTCCTTCCTACACACCCAAAAAAAAATGGCTGATCATCAATTCAACTCAGACATACAAAATTTTATCACAAATTCACCATTTTCTCTATTAAATTTCGATTCGAGTGTCGATTTAATGAACCAATTTCCAGATATGATGACCATTCCTTGTTCATCAGACATGTCAAGTTTCAATATACAGAGTTCAATGGAATTTTCGAATGATAATGTTTTCACTCAAGTAAATGATCAGTTTCCAGGAAGTTTACAAGAAATATTTCAAGGAAATATACAACAAGAAAGCAAAAATGAGGAAATTAATGATAGTAAAAAAAGAAAAATTAGTGATACTCCAGAAAGCAGTTCAGCTTCTGCTACGGGGAATAAAAGAAGAAATGTAAGTTAATTAGTTCTAAATTTTTACTCTGTTCGTTTCAATTTCAGTGTCTTAGTTTAGTTAGACAGTAAAATTATAACAGAGAAAGTATTTTATTAACGATCAAATTAATTAAATTTGAATTTTTTTATTTTTAATTTGCAGACTAAAGGAAGAGGAAATAGAGTGAAAGTTGATGAAAAGGAAGAAGAAAAACCAAGAGAAGTGGTTCATGTTAGAGCTAAAAGAGGCCAAGCAACTGATAGTCACAGCTTAGCAGAAAGGGTAATTAATTAATTGATTAAAACTATATTCTAAATTTTAATAATTAGTAAAATTAGTTGTGAATTATTTTATAAAATGTAAAAATTTGTGATGATTAATGTAATTTTACTTTTATATGGTTCAGGTTAGAAGAGGAAAAATTAATGAAAGACTTAGATGCTTGCAAGATATTGTTCCAGGATGCTACAAGGTATATTTGTATTTTTATACTGACGATGTATATTATTTAAATTCGAAAAAATAATACTAACAATTTTTCAATTTTAATCAAATTCCAGACAATGGGCATGGCAGGAATGTTGGATGAAATTATTAATTACGTGCAATCCTTGCAAAATCAAGTCGAGGTGAGTTTAATTTCCATAATTACTAAAAAAATTGAATAATAAAAAAATAAAATAAATAAATTGACTTATTTCGAATTTGTTGGATCCAGTTCCTCTCCATGAAACTTACCGCAGCAAGCTCATACTACGACTTCAACTCGGAATCCGACATTCTTGTGTCATTACAGGTAAATTTTTCGTATTTTCTTTTCAATCCAATCAATAAATGAAATAAAAATTTACATAATACATAATTGTTACTACTAAAGCATAGTCATAATCGCGATATTTCTTTTTATACTTTTTGTGACGGACTAAAAATGAGCGATTGGAATATTTTATGTGCAGAGAGCAAAGGCATATGAAGCACTAAAAATGCAGAAAATGATGAAGAAGGAAATTGAATGTGAAGTGATGTCTACAAATCAAGTTGGTCTTCATTTTGGAAGTTATCCAATGTTGCCATACAACACCTGAAGATTCTGCCCAATTAATTTTTTATTTTTATTTTCAATCAAACTTTTTTCCCACTTGGTGCTATACATTTGCAATATTTGTACACATTTGGAAAAAAGAAATTCAGATATTTTATATTAATATACTTGTATTAGGACTCACTCAGCTTTTATGTGGGTACTTAACCAAATTATATATAGTAAATTGTTTGATTTTCTCTAATTTTTTTTTGTTGAAATATGATTAAAATGAAGAATCTATTTTGAAGTTGATTAATTCTAGTAATTACCTATCTTATCTTGAATTTCACTTATGATATCTTTATTTTATAATTTAATCGAAAGAAGTAACTCAAAAATGCTCAAATTGATGTAATACGAAATTTGATAGGGCAAATGTTTCATGGGAGGCAACAAAGTTCACAAATCTTCTAATTGACACTAACAAATTGTTAGTAACAAGCATATTAGCAACAATTGATATGTTAAACTACTAGTAGGAGTATAAATTACAACGATTGTGAAATTATAGTTTTTCAAAAATTATATTAATTTATAAACGCACCACGATTTTTTTATTTTTTATTTTTTACATGTGTAACATTTCCCTATAACAAAATAGGCATAGAGAAAGATCAACAAACCGAACCAACCTACCTAAAACAAAAACAATTCCTTTGTAGCCAATCATCCATAATAAAAAATTCAAAATATCTTTTCACTTGTTACAAAGTCAATAGATACTTATTTTAAACGAGTGAATAGTTATATCTATAGTCTAAAACCTCATTTTTCACATAGTTTGTGAAATTGCTCGATTACTAGATCTACACAGCATAATATATTTATTTCTCTAAAGTTGAAATCTTATTATTCAATTATTATTTTTTGACTTCTTTGTTAACTCAAAAAGGTTAAAGAAAAATCATCCGTCTAATATAGTAAATTTTCGCTATATATAAAAATTAAGATGATTTCAAAAGAATCGAATTATTATAAGGTAAATTGTTAACTCAAAGGATCACATCAAAATACCAATCTTACCTTATCCAAAAGCATGTGATTAAACTTTGATTAATTGGACATGATGAGATGATGTGTTTGCATTGCTTATTCATTTTCCAACTAAATGATAAATTATAACAGCCAAATTTTCTTTTTGACTTGGTGATCCTCCAATGTAATGCTACCAAGCAAAACTATTAATGTCCCACTTTATTTTGCTATATAATTAATTAATTTAATAAGTTGCCATCACTTGAGAATATTACCATCATTTTCATAACCAATTAACATCAACTAACATAATTATGGTTGTCAAATTGACATATATAGAAGAGTAAAAATAGCTTCAATGGACCAAAATTATTTTCTCTAAGGATCCATAAAGTCACCTTTTTTCCACTATAAATTATTTGAGTATTATTTCAACTGAAATAATAATTGTTTTACTACCAAAATTGAGCGTGAGAGCCAAATGAATCGAAAGATTCATGTTTGATTCGGGAAGGGATTATGGAATTTTGGAAAGGAATGGAAAAATAATCTATTTTCATTAAGTGATTTATTAGATAATCGAAAACAGAGGATCTTGAATACTATTCGAAATTCAGAAGAACTACGTGGGGACTATTGAACAACTCGAAAAAGCTCGTTCTCGTTTACGGAAAGTAGAAACCGAAGCCGAGCAATTTCGAGTGAATGGATACTCCAAGATAGACGAATATGACAAAATAGATGAGCGTTTGAGCCTTATATATAAAAAATTTCTTGATAAAAAGTATTTTTTTTCAAATGAAAAATCAAAAAAAGGACAAAATACATCTTTAACATTTTTTTTCTAAGTAATTAGAATTTATGTTTAAACACAATTTTAATTTTCAATATTTCATCTTTAATTATTTTTTTTTCAATTTCAACCAAATATTATCTGAATCCATACATAATAATATCGTTGTCTTCGAGGTGTATAATGAAGCTATTCATTGAAAAAATAATAATAATTGCATAACTGGATCTCACAAAATGTATAATACGCTATTTATTTATTTTCCTTTTTCATATCGCTAAATTATTTTCTCTTATCAATCTAAATTTGTCCTATCTTATGTTTGAAGCGTTCACTCTATTATTAATTAATCAATTTATTTATAGCTAGGTATCAATCTAATATTAAATTTAATTAACTATATTGTAAATTACGGTTGACTTAATCCTCTTATTAATATATTCTCTTCAATTGAATGTGAGTTTTTAAACCCACTACTAATGGAAAGACTTTTTCAGACATATGCACGAACCTTCGAGGTTTTAAAAGATACTTCTTCTGTTCGAAATTATTTGTTATGTTATGTTTATCGAAAATCAATTTAATTAATTTTTAAAAGTAAATTAGATCACATTAATTCGATATTTTAAACAAAAAGTTAGATATTCTAAAACTATATAAAAAGTACTACAAATTACAATTTTTTACATATTAATTTGATGAAAAAATACATCTTAAAATATTAGTCAAAGTTTTTATAGTTTGACTCTAAAAATAAAAACTATAACAAATAATATCGGACGGAAGAAGTATGTTAACTTTTATATTTTCAAAAATAAAATAAAATAATACACATGGATGCATAACATTAATTATATACACTTTAACAACGTGGAATATTACGTAAGAGATTTTCTACTAATAAACATAATTAAAATCACACCAAATTAAAGACACCAACCAGCAAATCTTTTTTTAGAAGGAACAAAAGTACTAATTAATTAATTAAGTGGATACATCAATTAATTAAGTTGTTGAAGAGTAATGTGGGAGCCATTGTGAAACAAGTTAGTAAGTTAGAGGGCAACAAGTTGTAAAAAAATTGTTTTTGTGAGAATAATTAAACAACAGTATGTTTCCATTTAGATGTAAAGGAAACATCAAAAATGACCCTACAATTTAATTGAGTGTCCATTCAGGGAACAACACAACTTTTTTTTTTTTTGACAAGAAACCAACAGCTCAAAAATTTAAGTCAGTAAATTCTCGTTTCAATTTATGTGACAAATTTAAAGAACACAAGACAAAAAAAATATTCTTGATATGAATTTAGATCGTAATGTTAATTCATTCTCGAGATATTAAAACATGATGTCAATTCATTCTCAAGATATTAAAATGTGATGTTAATTCATTTTCAAGATATTAGAACGTGATACTAATCCATTTTCCAGTTATTTGATACGAAATAAGTTACTCAAATAAATTCATTTTTTGGCCAAGAAAAAGATTAATTCAACATGAATTAATATAATTTATACAAAAACAACTTAGTAATTTATCATGACACGCCAAATAAAGGACCTATATTCACTTGAAATAGTCGTAATTTTTAAAAATACATAATATGACGATCAATTGGGATTCTTAAAGCAGATACGCTTGCATACTCTTATTATCAATGCAAAGACAAAAAGACAAAGCTGTTTTATATGCATGAATACATTTATTAATCGTGCAAATTCAATGTATTCAACTACAGAGAAATGTATTATTTACGCGCTAATATACTTACTATATTTATAAATATAATATATTTCACTATTATTATGCGTACAATATAGTTAATTTATTTATATTGCTACAATTCAAAACTAATATATTTCGTAAATACAAAAACTATCACTGTATTTTGTTATCACACGCGACATTATCACCATATATAATTTTTTCTGAAAAATGAAATAGACACAATAATTAGATAGCAGGGACAAGAAACTCAATAAAATTGAAATGTTCATTTGTTTTATTAGAACTTATAACACGCAATATATATAAACTGTGACTTTCTAGCCACTATTAATAATCTGTGCTTGAGGGACTGAAAAACAGTAAATTAGGGGATAGAACATAAATCAGATGGATGTTGCCAATTCATTGGCTAAATGATTAATTTTGAGAAAGATTGCAAATGACAAAATTCCAAACCCCCTTTATTCCTATTTAAAATCTTGAGGACCCCCTTTATTTTTTTTTCAAAATTCCAAATAAAAAACAAATAGAAAAAATAATTAATAGTATTGATATTATTTATTTGTATAAGATGTAAATGTTTTAAAGGCAGATACGTTGTATGAGACAGCTTGAAATGGGACAAGTGGGGGTTATAGGCCAAAAGAAAAAGGGTCAATTATCCAAAATTTCACTAAAATGTTATATAAGAGATTAATGAACCTTCAAAGCTACTTTTGTTTTTTCTCAATTCCCACTAATAAATAAGAAAAAAAATGAACATCTTTTCAAGTTGACTCTCTTTTGACCAAAATTTTGTTGCCTGGTTTGTTGGAGTATACATGCATAAGGAAGGAGGAACAACATTTTTTGGGGACCTACTAATTGTATACTTAACAAATTGGATAAACATATATGGTAGATCACATAAGATTCAAGAAGAGACATATTTGGCATAATAATACAATAAATACATACTTATAATGACAAACATATACATTGTGTTTTGCCAAAAAAAGAATTACTCTATCGAGTCATTTAAATTATATTTACACATGATCGATCTCCTTGGAATAAGACAGAGTATATCCCAATAAAATCCACTCTAGTGACGAAGTCAAATTTTTCACTAAGTGACTTATGTTCAGTGACGTTCATATTTTAATATATTGTATAAAATGTATTTTCTCAGTTTCAGTTTTATTGATGGTATTTTGAGGATGAAAAAAAGATTTTTGAAATTTGTGACTGTCATGATCTCATTAAAGATAAAATACAAACTTTGAAGTAATTTTTTCTTTATTTTTTGGTTCCTCATCTGATGTACGGATTGATTTTAGATCGCGTAATGCAGGATCTATTCGAAGGTGAAGCTCTCAACGTAATTTTTTCGTACTGAAGACTCGAACTTAAAATCCCTAATTTAGGATAAAGTAGTTCAACCATTGCACTACAATCCATATTAATAAGTTTGAAGTATTACTTTATTTGTATTGGTTACTGAATATAAAATATGTCATTCTTTTTAAACGGATTATAATTTTTAGTGAAGTTTTATGGGTGTAAGTAATGCACATGCCCCAGTGACAAGTAGGTAAGTTGGGAAATAGCTAGCTGGGACAGATAAGAATTAGAAAGGGAATTAATATGCAAAATTGGGACAAATTCATGGATCCTTAGCACAGTCTTTACTTTCATCACAAAAAAGCCTAAAAAATTGGGAA